AGCTGCTCCCATCGCACCCACCACCCCAAGAGTGGGGACTGGCCCCGGGGCTGTCTGACCTCAGCTCTGCTGGTCTCCCCCTTGTGGCCTGGAGCCAAGGTCAACCTCAGTGGGCCTCGATGTCCTCGTCCTCAGCATCAAATGGGGAGAGGTTGTGCTCTCAGTCCTTTCTGCAATTCAGTTTATGGGGAAGAATTCTCTTTCTCACGGGCACTACCCTCTACCCCAGCCTAGGTCATTGTTATGTTTCACGTTTTACTTTTCTCTTTGATTTTGGCCTTAGAAATGGCAAAATAGCGCAGTGTTATTCTCCACTAGTGAAAAATAAACCAAAAAGTAAGTTTCCAGAATTCACCAATTATAAACACTTAGTAAATCACAGTATCTTTCCACAGTCTTCATTTTATAATCCAGATGTTACTTCTCAGTGGTACAATTAGGGGTTTGAAGGGCAGAGTTCTCCCCCATCCGTTTTTTCTGTATTCTCCAAGAATATATTTCACCACCAGGTGGCGTCATGTATCTGAGAATGACTGCCCAAGCTGGTCTTTGAATTTTTTAATGTAAATTCAGTGGCCTTCTCTCCAGTGATGGCATGATATAAAAGTAGCTTTTGTTATACTCTGAGTGACTTATAAAAAAAAATTTCGTGAATGTACAAAAATATCTTTAAGCGCCTTAAGTTTTGCAAATGGAAGTGTTGTGATGTGATTCTACTCAGAAATATTGAATAGACAACATGTCTGATAAAAAAACATGTGGTTTTCTTTTTCAAACCTATGGTAAGGTATTATTCACTGGAAACACCTACACTTTAGTATTCCTATTTATACTAGAAGGAAATGCTTTGTCTTTTGCTCAAATCGAAAGCTGGAACCAGAGCCATATTTATCTCTGTGTTTCTAACTAACATCCTTATATATTGCTGGTTCTTGATTTTTAAATGTCAGCTATTTTCTGCTGACTTTCCATTATGAAAGAAGATCTAGCCTCTCATACTGCTCCTGTGTTTCTTCCACCCGTAACCACAAACTTCACCTCCTTTTAGTATCCAACAAGAGTATGACATATTTAGTGCTTACTTTATTATGAATATGTAAATATTAGTCTCATATTAAATATGTGACATAATAAAATTATATTTCCCTTATTGAACAGAGTTTTTGTTTACTCTGGAGTTGATAGGTGTCTTTTTAAAATTTGCTTAATTTTCTGTACTTCTTTTAAAAAATCACTCATTCATCCCCATACCTTCTACTAGTAGCATAAATCTAGCAATCCATGCACAAACAGACTGGATGCTGTCCCAGATTCATCATTTACCTGCGAATGTTGCACCTGAAGATCTCCACCCTCCTCCCCAGTCTGGATTGGTCCTCTCGAGGCCCCCTACATATCTGTGGTCTGGGGATTCCCCTTAAGCATCATTCTGGGATTTTTCATTGTCTTACTTCCTCTTAAATGATCTGTTTCCTGGATCCCACATCTTTAGTTTTCTTGGTTTTGTTGCAACAGAGCACATGTTCTTGAGAAAGGGTGAATAGGAGTTCTGTTTTTTGAGTATTTACGTGTCTAAAAACATCTTTAGTCTACTCTTGAAGTGATTTATAGTTTGGCTGGATAACTAAGTACAGGCTGGAAAACAGTTTCCCTAGGAATTTTGACAGGATTTCCATATCTGGGAAATGGGAGCATTAACTGTTTTGACCAACTGTCCCACTACAAACAAGCAAAAATGTTGGGTTAAGTACACACACACACACACACACACACACACACACACACCCGTGTTCTTAAGAGCATTGAATAACTGACAAAGTAAGAAGGGATTATTAGACTAAAATCTAAGGGGAATAGGAATTCAGAGACCTAGGTGGAGACACTTTGTCCTGACAGTAGCTATTCTGACAAACTTGAACTCAGAGGTTACATACACCTTTAAGGTAGGAGTGAACCAGAAGTAACTTCCACCCCACTCCTAGGAGGCTTCAGGTTGCCTGGATGCTGAGGAAAACAGGGAAGAAAATACATGCCATCCCTGAAAAATTGAAACCATGGGCCAGCTCTTGCATGGATTTGCAGCTCCAACTTGTGTCCCCTAGGATGGTCCAGAAATTCTCAACTCATAATTTTTTAAAAAGTGGTCCCAGACTAGCGGTCTCTTTAGGAATCTGTCTGGAAGACAGCATCTTCAGTTTAAGCCTCAGGTACTGCTCAGGAATACTCTATCAGTAACAATGAGCAGGACACAGTAAAAAGTAATTATAACAATGTGAAACACACACACGGGGGAAAGGTTGCCAGAAGCAAAAAACAGAATAGACAGGTTAGTAGTTTTAAAAAGGAATAAATAGAACTTCTAGAAAGGAAAAAAATTACAGCAATTGAAGTTTGCTATATAATTGACAAGTTTAACAGATTAAACATAGCTAAAAAGAGAAGTAGCGATGTGGAAAATATGTGAAAAAATTATGCAGAATGTAACATAGACAGAAAATCGAGCAAATACAGAAATTTAAAAGCATTAATCCATTGTCTTCTAAAGCTAGAGTTTCTGTTGAGAAATCTGGTACCATTTTTCGATCCCTGATTCTTTGTATATGACATTTTTTCTTCTTGAAAAGAATTTTTTTTTTTGAGTTTTCAACAATTTATTTTTGGCTTCCTAATTCTGAGAGAGAAGCTTCAGAAGGCTCATGAAGTGTCTTAGACAAACAGGTCTACACAAAGAATATTTCGTGAAGAGTAAATAAATCAGACACATATGTTTTATATTTCTCTCTAAATTTACAGAGATTTAACTATGAATGAAAAATACTCTTTAGGAAAAAATGAGTTTTGCGTTTCATCCAATGTAAAATGCTTTGAAAACTATTTTTGTGAAAAGTTTTTGATTTAAAAAAATAAAATAGTTCTAAAAATTATTTTTAAATCTCCCTCCAGTGTTCTGAAACTTCACAATGATATTTCTTTAGTGGGTCTTCTTTTAATTCATCGGATTGGGCATATATGTATTTACACTTCATGTATATAGGCTCTATCTAGTGCTGCTGTCCTCAGCTACTTTCAGCGGTGCCTAGTACTTCTAACTGTTGAGTCTTTCTGGAGTTCTGCCATACGCACATCAGCTTTTTCCTGGGCGCCCCCCACTTCCAACTTATGTCACAGCTTTCTTTGCTCTTTTGGGTCAATTACTGCTCACCCATTTGTTCTCTACCTCCAAACGTTGTCATTATTATCTTCTTTCTTTCCCTCTTGCCTTCCTCTGGCTCATGGATTTATGACTTAAAAAAAAATCTCACTCATGTCGTTTTACTGGAATTTTAGAAGGAGGGAAGGTACCCATATATCTTCAACCTACCATTTTAAACTCTAAGTTCCTGGAAATATTTGTCTCTATGTTTTCTATGTTTAGTTCCATGTTTCAGTTTTTGGAATGTGTATTATGAATATTTATGAAAACTCTAATAGTTTTTCTTCTCTGGCAATGTGTTTTTTTGGCTGTGCTGGGTCTTTGTTGCGGTGCGCGGGCTTCTCATTGCGGTGGCTTCTCTTGCTGCAGAGCACGGGCTTTAGGCGTGCAGGCTCAGTAGTTGTGGCTCACAGGCTTAGTTGCTCCGTGGCACGTGGGATCTTCCCAGACGAGGGCTCGAACCCGTGTCCCCTGCATTGGCAGGCAGATTCTCAATCACTGCGCCAACAGGGAAGCCCTGGCAATGTTTTTATTCTCTGAAACATTTTAGGTGCCTGGCTGAGGACGCTGGGGATGTTGCATTTGTGAAAGATGTCACTGTCTTGGATAATACTAACGGTAGGTAAAGATGTTTCCCTTTCCCCTTCAAAGAAGAATCTTTGCCATCACGACACAGATTACTATTCAAATTTGCAATAGGGAAATATAACCTTTCCCAGACTTGGATCAAATTAGTTTCCTCTCTCTCTCTCTCTCTCTCACACACACACACACGCACACGCGCGCGCACACACACACACACACACACACACACACACACACACACACACACGCCATACTCAGGGGCAACTATCTCCCTGGCTTCGTCTAGTCAGCCACAGAAGCACACCATCTTCCTGTCTCAGCCTATCAGAAACTGAACGTGGATGATACATGAAAAAAAATGGGACATATGCAGGTTAAATTTCCCCTTTTAAACAAGGAAGTAGGAGCCTTCATTCAGCCCATGTGAGCCCTCGGTGTGGGAACTCCTTGGGGAGTTAATGAGGACAAAATCCTAGGCAGATGCAGATGAAAGAAGGTAAAATCCCCCAGCCAATAGAGGAATAAGTCACCCTCTCTTCTGACCTCTGGTGAAAATACTAATTACCAAGTTTAAGACTCCCAGCAGTGTGCTGCTTTCCAAACTGCACCTCTCTCCCTACCCGCTGCACTTAGCCCTCCACCCCGCCGCAGAGGACTTGCCACTTCCTCCCTCAAAGGGGCTGCTTCCACTTTCTGCCTCTTCCCTTCAGTGACAGCCACAGCCAGAGCCACTCCTCCAAGTCCCTGGGGAGAGCAATCGAGGCCAGACATGTAAATCTGGGGTGATCTCAGTATTGAATGGACAAAGCTGAGAGAATGCAGGAAGTCTTTTCTTGAGGGGACAGGGCGAAAGGAGAGAAGCAGCCACCTGACCACGAAAGCTCCATTTGCACACACACAGGCATAACTGTGTACAGTTACATTTCGAATTCATTTCGAATTCAGGAACAGTGAATCTAAGTGATCTCCAGGGATCAGATGGGTGTCAAATTTAGTTTTAAGCTTCTCTGGGATTTCACAACTGTATTTTATCGGAATTGACTGAAAGCATATTTGATAAACCCATAGACATTCCTATCCTTCCTCTGGTTACACTAAGAGCATTGGAATATGAAAGGAAACAATTTCTTCTTCTTTTTATTTAAAAAATACTTATTTATTTAATTTATTTATTTGGCTGAGCCAGTTCTTAGTTGCGGCACACGGGATCTTCGTTGCAGCATGCAGGATCTAGCTCCCCGACCAGGGATCGAACCCGGGCCCCCTGCCTTAGGAGCTGGTAGTCTTACCCACTGGACCACCAGGGAAGTCCCAACAATTTCTTCTTGAACACAAACCAACACTTCTTTTTCTGGAACTCACTGGAAAATCTGGCATACATGGAGGGTTTTCTTTTAAAGAAATGTAACAGCTTTATGGAGATACAATTTACATACTTCAAAATCCACCCATTCAGAGTGTAGATTCAATGGGATTCAGTGATCTCCAGCACATTCAAAGTTGTGCAGCTGCCAACAGAATCCAATTCTAGAACTTTCACAAAACCCCTTAAAGAAACCCCACACCTATTATCAGTCCCTTCCCCACTCCCCCAGAGCTGGCAACCATCAATTCACTTTCTGTCTCCATAGATTTGCGTATTCAGGACATTTCACATAAATGGAGTCCTACGATATGTGATCTTTTGTGACTGCCTTCTTTTACTTAGCGTAATGTTTTCAAGGTTCATCCACGTCGTAGCGTGTGTCAGAACTTGACTCCTTTTTATTGCTGAGTAATACTCCATCGTGAGGATATAGCACTAATGCTTGATATGTTTGAAGTTTGTGTATCTTGTGGAGCTTTATTTGCTCTCCTTCACATCACTGCAACCCCAATGTGTGCATTTCAAGAGGCCGGTGGATGGTCACAGCCACCCAGAAAGGATGCTTTGACTCAGAGTGGCAGCCGTGGCTGATGCTGCCTTCTTTATATCTCCAGGAGAGAACACTGCGGACTGGGCTAGGAAATTGAATCGGGACGACTTTGAGTTGCTGTGTCTTGATGGCACCAGGAAGCCTGTGACAGTGGCTGAGAGCTGCTACCTGGCTGTGGCCCCAAATCATGCCGTGGTATCTCGGAGCGATAAGGCAGCACACGTGGAAGAGGTGCTGCTCCTTCAACAGGTATGGGTCACCAGGGCCTCCTGCAGGGGCTCCTGTTAGGTGGGGCAATCACAGAGCTCAGGGAATCCACCCATCCCCGGCCTTTCTGTCCCATCCCTCTGCTTGAAGCTGGTGATGAGAGTATTTGCTCCATGCTGGGGGGCTGCCCTGAGTCTCATGGCCCTGGACGTGCGCTCACGGTCTGGCTGGGAGATGCTTTCTCTCCTTGAGCCTCCTGTTGTTCTTCAGGCAAATGAGGGAGGCGACTGAGCCTTCCTCCCATAGCCAGGTAGAGAGTGATTTACTCTGCTGATGTTTCCAGAGCCCGGGCCGACTGGGGATGTTCTAGACAGGGCCCCTGCATTTGTAATCTCTAAAAACAACAAACCCAGAACTTGTATAGATTTAAGGCTATCTACGTGAAGTGGTTTGAAGGAAATCCTATAATTTCCTTGAAGTCTGGGATTCTCTATTAGGACATCTAGCTCTGTATTAAAATGGCATGTTTCTAGATGTGCGTTAAAGAAAGTGGCCCTGGAATGTAAAAATTGGCACAATAACTAGCATTTATGGAGCCCCCGCTGTGCACACTCACAGGTGCTCGTAAGAGGTCTGCTTCCATGCAGGTGCTTGGTTCTTGCAGCTCACCTCCGTGGGAGGCCTGGGCATGGAGGAGGAACCAGGCCCAAGGGAGGCTAAGTGACCTGCCCAAGGCAATGACTGGGTCCGTGGCAGAGAGGATTTCCAATGCAGTCTGCCTCTCTGGGACAGCTGGCCTCTTAGAATGCTAGAGGTGATTACTTTGGGGGTGGATCTCAAAATCCTCAGCTGTCACCTAGTCACACATAGGAAGTTCTAAGGGAAGAGGCCACAGATTAAAAAGAAAGGCAAGATGGTGGGAGGTGAGATCAGAAGTGGTGAGGGGCCTGGGCACTGGGCTGGGGTGTGGAGCAGGGGGCCATGGGGCAGGGGAAGACTTAGCCAGGACAGTAGAGTGATTCCAGAACTTAGCTCCTTTTGCCCCATGGTTTTCCTGTGGCTGATCCTGTGCAGAAGAAATGCCCTTGGCCTCCCCGAATCCATAACCTCTCCTGTTTTCCTCCGCTGCTCTCTTACTGTCTGCCCTTTTGACACAGGCTCAGTTTGGGAAAAATGGAAAACACTGCCCGAGCAAGTTTTGCTTATTCCAGTCTGAGACCAAAAACCTTCTGTTCAATGACAACACTGAGTGTCTGGCCAAACTTGGAGGCAAAACAACATATGAAAAATATTTGGGACCAGAGTATGTCACGGCCATTGCTAACCTGAAAAAATGCTCAGCCTCCCGTAAGTGGAACATAGGTAGCGTCACTGGGAAACCACCGCAGGTGAAGGTCAAGGTTGGAGGGCCAAACATTCTAGGGATGAAGCAGGTATAAAAACGTTAAGGCAATACAATGTCTCTATACTTTGGGAAATTACACTCTCACTGATGAGGTGAAAGAGCTAGAGAATAAAATAAAGCCGTAGTAATATGCTAAATTTTTATAAGGCTGATAGCGATTGTAAATATATGTATGTATGTATATACATACACACAAAGGTATACATATATATACATATATGTTGACAAATGACAAACTCTGGTTTCTAGGCACTTACTGTAAGTACTAACCATAGAGAATACAAATTCTCAAAAAACATTTTAGCCAGGAAAATGTATTGACAATAATTTAACCCTTTAAAAACATTTAGAAGACATAGCAGAGCGTTGTGAGCCTCCAGGCAATGATTCTCGAGTTTCGGCAAGTTTTGCCTCCTCTGTGCACTGATGTCATCTGGGTTCCTATTCCTGGTCCCTCACCCGGGGAGCTGGAGGCATCGGTGGGTGTTGTATGGTGGTCCAGGGGTTGGGGAAGGGCTGAGAATCTCTTTATCAGTGGTTCTCAACCGGGGATGATTTTGCCCCTGAGGCATTTGGCAATGCCAGGAGGTATTTTTAATTCTCCTGATATAGGGGGTGCTGCTGGCATCTGTGGGTAGAAGCAGGGATGCTACTAAACAGAGCACACACAGAACAGCCTTCGCAACAAAGAATTCCCCAGCCCCAAATGTCAAGAGTGCCAAGGAAACCCTGCTATTTCCACGGACATCTCAGGGGATTGTGATGCAGGTGGATCTAGGGCTACGCTTAGAAATTGCGCTGCAGGTCTACTCTTGTGAGCAGCCCGCTCAGGATTGCACATAGGGTACACCCCTTGAGGGCAGGGCTTATCTGTCTGTGTTGAATCCTCAGCACTTAACACAGAGGCTCACACAAAGCCAGTGCTCAGGAGGGATTCATGGATGAATGAGTGAATGAGTAGGTGGATATTACTGCAAGCAGATTTGCATAAAGATGATCAATTGCTCACATTCCAGAACAGATTCGAGGACCATCAATACCTTGTGAACTTGAGAGTGTGACGGCTGATTCACCTGGAGACAAGTGGGTGGCAGCTGTGTCACTCAGGCCAGAGCAGGGAATCTCACAGCTTGATAAGGACCAGAGCTTTTGTGTGCTCCCTTGGGTCCTGCAGCTCTTCGCAGGACGGACAGTGGGGAAATGTGGGGATGGCAAGCCTTGACCTACAGTGGTGGGAGGGCAGAGGAAAGTCTGTTTTAGTGTCCTCTTTGATTGATGTATTGATTCAAAAAAAAAAGGAATCAGTTTCTGAATCTCCTGCTTTGCTGTGTCCCACAGCGTTTCTGGAAGCCTGCGCCTTCCTGAGAGGTCAAACCTGAAGAGAAGCTGCCCTGCCTCCCCGGGGGCCCCTCCCTGCTTCCAGCCCTGATCCTTCTTCTCCCTTCCTGAGGGCGGATTTTGCCAAGCCCATCAGTTTTCACAGATCCCTGCTACCATCTTAACAAGAAATAAAATTAGAAATGCTGTTGATTTTCATTCCCTATAAAGTGCCATTCATCTTTTCTAGAATTTCATACTGAAATCATGTGTCTGACCAAACACCTGCCCAGTGGAACCTTTCCTTCCCTGTATTCCCACTTCCCACTCCCACTCTTTCCGGCAGTTTCGGGCTTAGTGCCTGATGGTCTGGAGTCTAAGGTCAGGCCAAGCAACTCTTTTCCTCAAGGGCACCTGTTGGTCCCTCATATAGTTGTGTGTGTGTGTGTGTGTGTGTGTGTGTGTGTGTGTTTGAGTGTGTATGTGCATGTGTGTGTGTGTGTTTCTAAGGCAGGGGAAGGAATAGAGAGTAGGAATCAAGGGATTAGTGGAAGAAGCTGGGTATCAAGAAGATTTATGAGTATTTGCTATTTTAAGTAAATAGCATCAGGTATAGTAAATTTACAAATATAGACATAGGAAAATGTGGAACACAGTGGGCCCTCCATGTCCATGGGTTACACATCCTTGAATTCAACCAACTGAGGATTGAAGATATTTGAAAACAAATTACAGAAAGTTCCAGACAGCAAAACTTGAATTTGCAATTTACATTGTATTAGGTATTATAAGTAGTCCAGAGATGATTTAAAATATATGGGAGGACATGCATAGGTTATATGCAAATACTACACCATTTTATATAAGGGACTTGAGCATCCTTGGATTTTGGCATCCACAGGGTGTCCTGGAACCAATCCCTGCAAATACCAAGGTACAGGGGACAACTGTACATCTATCCCTTGGCCTTGTTGGCCCTCAACCTCCGGTTAACCTCTGGTCACCAGTTTATTCCCACTTTTCTCAGCCAAGCTCTTTAAAGCGTGGTCAGAGAGGGCTGCCTTCACTTCAGCAAGTCAGGTGGGTGTTTGGGTCATTCTCTCTTCACCCCACTGTAGTTTGATTCTAACCTGTTCACTCCCTTGAAGCGGTTCTGGAATAGGACAGCCCCAGCTTCCCAAATGGCCAAGCTTAGTAGGGTTCACATCTCTTTTCCCTGAGCCCCTTACTATGTCTGATCCTGTGGACATGTGCTCCTTGAAGTTCTGTTTCCTCAGCTTCCATGCTGCTGCTTCTTCCTTTTTCTGCCTTTTTGAAGGTCCATGCTTTGTCCTTTAAGTGTGTTCCCCACAGTTTTCTTCTCCAGAGTTTCAATTCTGACCCACTATCTTGATGCCAGGGAAGGGAATTAAGAGAGGACCAAATGGCTGGGTTTTAGCTGCTAATGCACAGACTCTCCCCACCAGTAAACAGGGCCCATTGGGGTCCTACCTTAGATTAGTAACTCTTCCCTGAGAAAGGATCATTTTCCTGTTTTTAGTATTTCCAATGGCTCATTGGACTCAACAGGCAAACCTGCGTCAACCAGGGTGAATCTTCCCTTTCAAAGGCAGAGAGCAGACAAGAATGGCCAGCATTGACCAGTATCAATGAGATAGGCAGGCATAGCACAGGGAGATCACCTCAGTGCTCTGTGACCACCTAGAGGATGCAAGAGGGAGGGGATATGGGGATATATGTATACGTGTGGCTGATTCACTTTGTTATACAGCAGAAACTAACACAACACTGTAAAGCAGTTATACTCCAATAAAGATGTTAAAAAAAAAAATGAGATAGGCAGTTCTTCTGCTGCCTGCAGAAGCCTCTGAAATCTGTCTTGAAGGACATTAATTACGGTCCCATAATCCTAGAATGAAAACTCCCTTTTTTGCTACTTTGAATTATGGCCCAGATATGTAGTCCAGCCTCACTAGTAAACTAGAAGTTTACTGAGGGAGCAACATTTGATGGTGTAGCCATATTAGTCATAATACCAGCAAGATAAAACATCATATTTGAACCGTATAAACCTTCTTGTATAAATAAGATACTTAGGTGAAATTAAAGGCCCATGAAATCCCCTTTTCTGGCTGAAATAAAAATTTCAAAATCTAACATCGCTGTATCCATTAACTCATGCTAAGTTATGTCAATGTCTTACACAACAAAGGTTTGTTTCTGTCTCACGTTCATACCTGTCATAGGTCATCAGTGGCTCTGTTGTTCATTTCTTTATTCTGAGACCCAGGCTGAACCAGCAGCCCCTGCCTGGGGCACACTGGCCTGTAGACAGAGCGGGAAATAAAAGAGAGATGGAGGCAACACAAAAAAACTCTTAAAGCTTCCTTCTAGGAGAGGCCATATCATTTCCATCATTTCATCGCCCAAAGCAAGTCAGGCGGCCGTAGCATCAATGAGGGGGGTCTTTGGTCCCGCATTCTTTCACCCTGACACTGAATTGAGTGTGGGGCTGTGTTTGGTGTCCCTGCTTTTACTTCCTCAGACCTCAAGTTCCTTACAGTCTTCAAGGAAAGCTTGTATTCTGCACGGTCCCCACTCTAAACTTTTCTTCTGCCCAACACAGATTTTAACAGCCATCAATTGTAATACGTTTCAGCAGATTCCACTTCAGATTGTACTGAATTAGTGTTTCCTCAATTTTCTGGAAAATATTCTTGCCTGTAGTTATCCCATGTGGACTATTCCTGGAGGCTTCAAACTCACCACTGATTCCTCAAATAGACAATAGTTAACAGCATCTGTAACATCTGTTTACTCATCAAAAGCCAAGGAAAGCCACTCAAATCATTTGTCTTATTTCTTGTTCCCAATGTTTTCAGCTCTTTAAGCAAGAGTTGTCAGTGAAAGGCTAAAGTCTTAAGTTAATTTTCTCTGGGCACATTTGTTTACAGCTGCAATCAAACATGATTTCATTAACTCAACATAGGTAAATGGCTTTTCTTGCTTGGCTAACAAATGAGCTATTTAGAAAGTTACTTTGCTTGCAGCCTCATTTCTTTTTTTGTTTTGAAGATTTTTTTTTTTTTTTGCCGTGCCACACAACTTGTGGGAACTCAGTTCCCCCACCAAAGATTGAACCCCGGCCCACGGCAGTGAAAGTGCCAAGTCCTAACCACCAGACCTCCGGGGAAGTCCCTTGAAGAAATTCTGTTGGGATGAGATATTTCACTTTAAAATTTGTAATTTTCCTGACCATTTTTCCCCTATGAGTTTGGAATAGTGCAATGAATGCTTAGTCTGGAAATGTCAACACATGTTGTATTCTTTTAGCAAAACTATAGTTTCATTGCATAATAAATACAGTGCTTTGGCATCTAAGTTGATAACAAAATAATCCACAATCCATAGTGTCTTATTAGTGTGACATTCAAAATTCACTTTTCTCTTCTTTGCTTGTTTTAACATGATGAATATGCACTGGTAATAAAAATTTTAAAAAAGGTGGTTTGGCTCTATGTGTATAAAGATAAACTGTTCTCTCTACTTAACAACACTTATATTTTTTGTATTGAAGTAGCATTGATTTACAATGTTGTGTTAATTTCTGCTGTACAGCAAAGTGATTCAGTTATTTAGATGTCCTTTTTCATATTCTTTTCCATTATGGTTTATCACAGGATACTGAATATAGTTCCCTGTGCTGTACAGTAGGACCTTGTTGTTCATCCATTCCATAGATAATAGTTTGTATCTGCTAATCCCAAACTCCCAATTCATCCCTCTCTCATTCCCCTCCGCCTTGGCAACCACAAGTCTGTTCTCTATGTCTATCTACTCACAACACTTATGACACCAAATATGTGTGGGTTTCCTACACCAAACAATTCTCTAATTCTCTGTGGACACCAACTGGGTTTCCTGCAAGTCAGTTCAATTCTGACACTAACCACTTGGAGTTAACACAGACCCACAAGGTTAAGGGCTCAGGCCCACAAGACTGCCCTCTTTTTTCAGACACCAATCACAAGTAGTGGGTTCCCAGGTTACCTGTACTTTTGTCCAACTTGGCTGTAAACTGGGGAATCCCACGACCCCCTCCTCAGGTTTGATAATTTGCTGTAATGGCTCACAGAACCCAGGGAAACACTTTACTTATTGTTACCTATTTATATTAAAGGATTGTATAAAAGATAGAAAAAGAATAGCCGGATGAAGAGGTACATAGGCTAAGGGTCTGGAAGGGTCTAGAGCGTAGGAGCTTCTGTCCCCGTGGAGTCGGGGTGTGCAACTCTTCCAGTACGTGAATGTGTTCACTAACCAAGAAGCTCTCTGAATCCTGTAGTTTAGGGTTTGTATGGAAGTTTCATAACACAGACACAATTGACTAAGTCATTGACCATTGGTGATTATCCAGCCACTCTCCCATCTCTGGAAGTCAGGAAGCAGAGCTGAAAGTTCCAATCCTCTCATCACAAGGTTGGTTCTGGGAACCAGCTCCCATCCTGAAGCTATCTAGGGAAGCACCGAGCGTCACCTCATCAGCATACACTCAGGTCTGACTGAAACTCAGGTAGAGGGTTTATTATGAATAACAAAGGACACTCCTATCACCCCATCAGTCAGGGCTGAAGACCGGAGGTATATGTCTTATTGTATCACAACATCACAGTCTGGTACTTGAAATGCTATTGAATTATAACTGGCTGTAATTTACAATGCACCAAGCAGCAGTGGGAAGCCATGAGAGTGCCACAGACCACCTCTGTCAAAACCACTGGACTCGGCCATTGCAGTGCAAAAGCAACCACTGGCAATACATATATAACTGAGTGTGGTCGTGTTCCAAAAAAACTTTATTTTATTGAAAATAAAGTTTCTGAAATTCGACACTGAAGTTCGAATTTCATATAATTTTCACATGTCATGAAATATTCTTCTGATTTTTTCCAACTATTAAAAAAAAAGTCAACGCTACTCTTTGCGCATGCGCCCATCCTTTGGCTGCTGCTCTTTGTCCTGGCGTAGGAACATCGCTGGCTCCTTTCATCCATTCTTGCAAGGTGAGCTCTGCCTCTCTCGGATGTGCAGGACCAGTTCCTGGAAGTGCTCTAGAAGTACAACGGCGACGACTCTTCCTTCCAACGTACCAGGTGTTGCGAGGCCTGGAGCTGCTCCGGCGCAGCGATACAGCCGCCGCGGTGCCCCGACGCTCCGCCCCCGGTGCCGGGACTATCGGTGCCGCGGAGGAGTCCAAGCTCCTGTCTGCGCCTGCGCGGTGCTTCCGCGGAGCGTGGCGGTGCACGAAGCGCGGAAGGTACGCCTGCAGGCAGCTTCCCTAGCGGTGCGCATTTAGTTTTGAGGGAAAAGCCAGTATCTTGTGGTGCTGGGAGCTTCCCTATCACATCATGTCAGGAGGAAGGTCGTGTGTACTTAGGTCGTTGGGAAACGGACTGAGTCTGCATACTTTTTTCTCAGCTGTTAGCCTTAGCGTATTCGGAATCATTTGGCCCGCCATTGTCTCCAGAAATAATTACAGGTCAGTCCTGAGTGGGAAAGAAGTGGCATGTGCTGCAGGACGTCTAGAGCAAAGTCGCAGCTCTGCTGCTGTGTGGCTGTATGACCTCGGGTAAATCCTTTACCTTCTCTGGGCTCAGCTTTGTAAGTAAAATGAGGGATTGGGGCTTGTTCTCTCTACGACTCTTCTACAGATTGAGTCTGACCCCAGTCATGAGGGACCAGAAGGGAGGAGACTTAAAATTTGTGCTTGGGGTCAATCTTTCTTCTTTGTTTTTATCCAGACAAAATCAGAGTCAGTTTTGCCCTTCAACTTGGTCTTATGAATATTTCCGTTTGTGCAGTGGGGGTCAGAGAGGGTTCAGTGGACATTCATATACCCTCCATGTAGAGTTGACAGGTGTTAACATTTTGATGTGTTTTCCCTCTTGCTTCTTTTATATGCACCTGGTGTGTGTATGTGTGTGATTAAATTATTTGAATGTGAGCCGTGACTATGACATTTCACTCCTAAATTCTTGAGCATGCATTCTTTAAGAACAGGGGCATTCTCCCACATAATCGCAATTTTATTGTCACCCTTGAAAATGATAAGTATGTCATCTGACATTTTGTTTATAGTCATATTTTTCCGATTTTCTCTGGAATGGCTTTAAGCCTGTTTCTTAAGGAAGTGCTCCCACTACCCATTGGCAGTCAACTCCTCCTGCCTTCCCTCACAGGCATGAGTGTCACCTCCCTGGGGGAATAACAGCACCTGTGTTGGCTGGAGTCTCTCTCTTGGCCACCTCCTCATCCATCACCACGTCGCAGCTCCTCTAGTCCATTTGGAGATGAATCCCACAGACTCTGCCTTGGAGTCCTTCAGAGACAAAAGAGTGGAGACAGTGAGTATGCATGCAGATAGCCATCCGCTGGAAGTGGCATCAACTTGGGGACATGGGTTGTGTGCTTTGCCGAGGAGGGAGCGTCTGTTTGCACGGGGCAGCTGGGGACGGTCCTGAGCCATGGTGAGCAAGCTGGGTGCACCCCCAGGAAGTGTGTGGCAGGTGTTCTGCAAAGATGGATGCCTGAAAGAGCGTGTGGGCAGGGGCTCTGGTGGGATGGCTGTCCACAGACTCATAGCAGGACTGTTGAGCTGATATATGTACATGTATAGATGATTCACTTTGTTATAAAGCAGAAACTAACACACCATTGTAAAGCAGTTATACTCCAATAGAGATGTTAAAAAAAAATTGTTGAGCTGACCACGTGGTTGAGGGCAGAGGAAAACACATTTTGTCATAGGTGATATAAGCGAGATGGTCTGAACCTCCCCACCACTCCTTCAAACAAAGAAGCTGGGGCTGAGCCACATGTCCCTAGATCCTTTTGTCAGCATAGTCATTTACCGGGAGCAGCAGCAGGAGGCTGACATGGGGACGAGGAGGTCCATCAAAACTGAAATTCAAGCACCATTAGGGTGCAGGCAGCATCTGTGGAGGGTGTGAGGAAAAGTGGGATGTAGGCAGCGTCCTGTGGGCCAGTCACTGTGCTGCTCACTAAGCCCTCATCCTGGCCAGCAGCCCTTTGTGTGTGTGGGGGTGTCTTATTCCCAGTTGTCTGAGGCACAGGGAGGCTAGATGGCCTGTGTTGGGTCCCACAGGAAGAGAGAGACACCCTTTCCTAACTTCTCCCAGAGCAGGCATGGCAGGGGACTCCAGGGAGGTGACTCATGGCCCCGCTTATAGCTAAAGGCCACACCACAGGGAAAAATCAAAGGATTCAGAGTTTGCAATTTGAATCAAAGATTTTCTTCTGTTAGATGTGCCAGAGATGGTTCTTTGGCAAACTTTGCTTTTCACAGGGTCTGTAAATGGGTGGCTGAGGGGAGCAGCAATCCTTGGATGTGCCTTCCCCCAGTCCTTTGGACTGTTGTGAAAAATCCGGAGCAATAGTATACAGGAACTCACTCTATAAACCAAGTGCTGTAGACAAGTCCGGAAGTACTGGGTGGAGGAGAGGAAAGAGTGTGGGATTTGATATCAGAAAATGTCAAGCCCAGATTCTGACCCCTGAGAGTTGTGAGATTTAAGCCTCAGTTTCCACACTTGTAAAATGAGGCTGGTGATAGTCAGTTTTCTTTGAAGGCCTGTTATGTGGTGCAAATACGTCTGTGAAGGCAGTTGGTAAAGGATAAAGTCCTATTGAAATTCAGGCTTGGTGTGGGAGCCTAAGACCAGGGAATGGTGAGCAGCTCTTAGGAGGGAGGACAACTTGGGCCGATGTGGCCACAGCACATTTGTAAAAACCAAAAAGAACAAGATTATTTGTTGCTTAACTGAAATTCAAAATTAACTGGGCATGCTGTATTTTTTTTTTCAATTTCAGGTTTCATTGCTTTCTCATTCTCTAAATCAGTCACATTTACCATTTTAAAATTTGTTCCATTTGTACCCACAAACACATAAATTGAGATGAATCAGAGATTTCTCATGAGATATCAGTCTTTCTCTCAAATGTCCCAAATCAGAATTATTTTGACCTGATAGGAAAATTTTTTTTGCATTAGAAAATAATTTACAGGCAAAAACAGAAACACTGTCACATTTTCTTAAATATGCTAGTTCTCTTTGGCTTTTTACTGGTTGTTAGTTTTCTAATGCAATAGTTTGTAGAAAAGTGGAAAACGTGTTATTTTTTAAATTGAAGTATCGTTGATTCATATTATTAGTTTCAAGTGTATAGCATAGTGATTCAGTATTTTTTTTTATAAATTTATTTTATCTGTTTTTGGCTGCGCTGGGTCTTTGTTGCTGTGCGTGGGCTTTCTCTAGTTCTGGCGAGCGGGGGCTACTCTTCGTTGCGGTGCGCGGGCTTCTCATTGCGGTGGCTTCTCTTGTCGCGGAGCATGGGTTCTAGGCACGCAGGCTTCAGTAGTTGTGGCTCGCGGGCTCTAGAGCGCAGGCTCAGTAGTTGCAGCACACGGGCTTTGTTGCTCTGCAGCATGTGGGATCTTCCCAGACCCCACACGGGACACGGGAATGAACCCGTGTCCCCTGCATCGGTAGGCGGATTCTTAACCACTGTGCCACCAGGGAAACCCACACAAGTTTATTTTCTATATCCGTGAGTCTTTTTCTATTTTGCATGTGCATTCATTTGTGTTATTTTCTACATTCCACATACAAGTGATATCATACAGTATGTCTTTCTCTGTCTGACTTATTTCATGTAGCATAATATTCTGTAGTCCATCCACGTTTCTGCAGATGTCAGCATTTCATTCTTCTTTATGGCTGAGTATTATTCCATTGTGTGTGTGTAGCCATTCATCCGACTTGCACTTGATAGGCACTTGGGCTGCTTTTATTGTAAATAGTGCAAGCATGAATCATTTTTATCTTTAGGACAACTGTCTTCTTCTTCTGACAGGGGAAGAAGACCTTGCTGGATATACTACTTAACGTGTGTGGGCTATTGTAGCTGGATCAGCCATCACAGACTTTTGATTTTCAGTAACTATTTCACTCTCAGTCACTGTAAGAGTTTATTCTCTATATGCTCCATGTTTTCATTCTGAAAATTCTGAAAGGGTTTGTTCTGTGAATTCATTACTGTCTCTATAAACATCCAAAAACGATGTCATTTTGCCTGAGATTTCTGTCCCATATGTGGTAGAAGTGAATGGAGAGTCCAGACCTACTCATATCTGGTGAGTATGAGTGTGAAGAAGATATCTCTGTCCCTTCTCCTTCTCCTCTTTTCATATCTGCTGGGGTACTTTCAGCTGAGGTCTTGCTCTTGACTTGTCATGGTGTTTTTATTGGCTATTTAATGTCATTCAGGGTGAGCCCTGTCTTACTCAGCTAAGGCTGTCACAACAAAATACCATAGACTGGGTAGCTTAAATAGCAGAAATTTATTTCTCACAGTACTCAAGGCTGGGAAGTCCAAGATCAAGGTGCCGGCATGGTGGGGTTTCTGGTGCAGGCTCTCTTCCTGGCTTGCAGATGGCTGCCTTCTTGCTGTGTCTTCACATGGTGCAGAGAGCACGCAAGTTCTCTGGTGTCTCTTCTTATAAGGCATTAATCCCATCCTGAAGACTCCGCCTCATCTAAACCTAATTACCTCCCAAAGGTCCCATTTCCAAATACCATCTCACTGGGGCTTGGGCTTCAACATATGAATGTTTTGTGGGACACAGTTCATCCATAGCACCTGGTGAGGACACGGAAGAGCCAGTGACTGGTATAGACTGTGCTCCCTACAGGGTCTCCCCCAGGTGCCACCTCCTCCTCCTCCCTCCTCAGTGATGGAGGTGAGAGATTGTGGTCCACAGGCATCCTGTATTCATCTGTCACCTCTCCTTGGGATATGTAACAGAAAATGGGCACTGGATTGCCCCAGGCAAACGCTTCTTGTGATGTTTTATAGTCACAGGCGGTGAGGCCTGAGGTGTATACGTTACACTGAAAAGGACAAAACATGCCTTGTGTTAAACATTTCTAGACATAATTGTACGTTTGCTATTGTTAGATAGCAGAAAGTGCTAGAAACCTTGGGAGGCTCAGAGGTTGGGGGTATCTGGGGGCCTCAGGGGTATCTGGGGGCTTCGGGGGGTGTGGTGAATAGCCAAGAAAACCCAGAGAACTTTCCACAGAGCAAGTCCCTTTTCCTCTTTTTATCCAGAGCCTCCAGCTAGCCATCTCTTTCAATTACCTGAAAGAAACTGTGCCTGATGAATTACTTTTGTGTGAATGGGTTGTTCTAATTTGGAATGTGGTCCGGTTGGTTTTAAAAGTGCATATTTGCTTTATGTGTCTTCTTGCCTGAATTTTAGAAGTTCGGCATATGCTGGACAAGGTATAGGTTCTGGAGTGAATGGCACCGGGTTTGTGTCCCAGCCTTGCCACGCTCTAGCTGTGTGATCTTAGACAAATTTCTGAGCCTCAGTTTCCTCCCCCAGAGAAATGGGACTAATTCCACCTACACCACGAGCAGTCAGTGAGGCACGGAGGAGCTCACGTTTGTCAAGAACCTAGCACAGCGCCTGAGACAAATTCAGCGCTTGGTGAATGTTTCTTCACCTCCCCCTTTTCTTCCTGGAGCCTATTTTATGTACAGATGTGTAAAGACTATTGCACAAAACAATGCAATGAGGGAAAAATTATTGTTTATTTATCCCGCCTTTGGTAGGAGCTAGTTTACATTTAAGTGGAAAGGTGATATTCTTCCCTTGATGTGCCTTGGGCAGGTTCCTCAGTGGGTTGAGGTGTGGTGTCACTGCACAGATGGCAGAGTTGGCAGAGGTGTTTCCTAAATGCCTTGTTGAGAAACACGTAGAGGAGAGGGTTGACGCAGCAGTGGGTGGTGGCGATGATTTTCATGATCTGGACACTTCTGTTCAGGTTGTAACTACTCTCACAGCCATGCAGGGAGAAGTGTTCGTTGAAAGCAGACAGGAAAAGTGCAATATTGTAGGGTCCCCACATCAGAAGGAAAACAACCATTATGGTGAAAACAAGCTTGAAAAGGTCACAGTTCCTCGCCCCACACTTTAATGTTTTCCTCATTCGCACGTAGCAAAATACAAAAAAGAACAGTGGCAAAAGAAATCCCAAAATGTTCATCTTTAAGGTCATAAAATGCTTCCAGAATGTCTCATCAGCTGGTAGGAAGTGAGGTCTGGTAAAGAAGCACTTGTGTTTCTGGCTTTCCATCTGAGGTTTGTAAAAAGCAAGTTCAGGCAAAGTGACCAGAATGGCTGTGACCCATGCCAGAGCACTTGTGAAGATGTTGCCAGCCACCATCCTGCAGGCCGAGACAAGCCTTCTCATGCGGAAAAACTCCTGGTACCTTTGCACAGTCAGAAGGACATTGAAAAATGCCTCACTGTACAGGCCTATGGAGTAGAATGCCACGAGAATTTTACACAGGGGGTCACCAAGAACCCCCTCACGTGAGGCCGTGTAAGCCCAGAACGGCAGGGTGGGCAAGAAACACAAGTTAGAAATTGCCAAGTTGAGGAAATAGATATTTTCCGCTTGCTTGAGTCCTTTGTATTTTACCAGGATAAGCACAACCAAGATATTGTCCAGGAGGCCAGCTGTGAACACCATGGTGTAGAGGTAAGGCACCAGCTGGGCTGAGAGAATCTTGGGCTCGTATGGGGTGCATGGTTCTATTTCGTTGTTACTCAGATTGTCTTCTATGAGGACATCATAATCCTCCTCTGGTGCTGACGTGTAATTAGCCATCTTCAGGCTGCCCTGTGGAGAAATGAAAGATGATTCTCCCTTCATACAGCTGTGTGGTCCGGCCTACAACTCAGAAGACTGAAAATAAACATTTCTTTAACACGCCCTATATCCTGAGAGCAGCTGCTATGATTCATCCCTTCATTAAGCACTTAGGTGTTTAGTAGTATGCGAGCTACCACAGGCAGACAAAAGTAAGCATTACCCTTCTTCATATAACTTCATTCTCTTGGTAGAAACAAGACTTGCCTACCTGAAGCCATGTAGGAAAAAACACAGTTAAAGAGAACCAAGTACCGGGGTTTAGTTTCACAAAATTGGTGTCAGTCGCAATTTCTGTGCATTTAAAAAGTTTGCTCACCCCCCGTAACAGCTTCCTGTGACAGGCGGAGAGGTCTGAGTTCTTCTCTTGAAGGATATAAATAAATGTTTGCAAAAGCGAAACCACCCTAAGCATTAGCATGGACATAACTGGTTAAATACATCGAAGACTTACCACTGACCGAGTTCCTAGGCGGGGAGGGTATGGCCTTCTGACCTACCATCCGAGTTGCTGTGGGAACCGTCTGGGCCAGTTAAAAGCTGGCTTCCTTCAGAACAGCTGGCCCCTGACCCTTAGGGCCAAGAGAAACCACTGTTTATCCCCCTGGTGGCTGTGTTCCACCAGTCACACATCTCAGGGACTAACCAAAATAAAGCAACTTGAAAGCTCCCCCAGACCCCCAGAGAGTTTCTTAAGCTGCAAAGAGAAACCGGGAAGTTGTTTTCTCCTGCTGCTTCCACCCCCACCCCGTACCCCGCCTTTGATTTCCCTGTGGCCATCCTGCTGGCTGCCCTAGATAAGGGAACTAAGTTACTGCTGCTTCTCAGTGATACTGAGGGAGGGATAGCAAAGTGCTCTGACATGTAACTCTGAGCAGGTGGTGGCTTGCAGCAGAGGAGAGAAGTGTCACATACGATGACTGTGTGTCCAGGCCCAGGGGCTTGAGGCTCCTATGTAGCATTTCATCAGCATTAGCATATGGGGCTTCAAGAACTTGCAGTGAGAACCACTGCTTTGGTTTTCATTGTCCCTTTTGAGAGACGCTGTGTGCTTTGGCTGAGGAATGGGGCCCCAGTAGGGTCCGCTCTGGGGACAGTGGAAGCTACAGAGTGATGTCAGTTGGCAAGGGGGTGGTGCAGAGACAGAGCCTCAGTACCAGTGCCTGGGGGAAATTGATGTGAGGGAACCAAGGAGTTAGGCAAGATGTTAGGAGCTGACCCTGCTCCTAGAAGGAGGGCCCAGCACAGGAAAATTCCATGGTGAGGATGCAGAGGCTCCATCAAGTCACATGCAGAGAATGTGAGGGGAACAAGTTCAACCCCTGTTTGAGGCTGGGGTGGGGTGACGTTTAAGGCCAGAGAGAAAGGAAGCTGAGAAGTCCAGATTTGGAGTGGTGGGAGGAGGGTGTGGGGAGGAGGAAGGGGATGGGGGCGGTTTGGAAGAAAGATGAACTGAGAAGAAGAACTTGAAATAACTGGAAAATCTGTATGAACTTCTCCTGGATCAACTCTTTGTACCTGTGATGGACCTAATTTGAGGACCAGTCTTGCATGTTGGCTTAGCGTTCATTTCGCTGGTTAAACGACATCTGTTAATGCCAAAGATATGTTTGAGGTGGTAGTCGGTGCAGAATGTGGACCTGCCAAAATAGAAATAGAACTGAGGAAACTATTAAGGGAAAGGAAAAATAAACATTAAAAGGGCCTGGACAAACATGTGATCGAGCATTAAATTTAACTCAGAGGGAAACTCATGATGTTCCTCCGTATGGAGGGGTTGGGAGGGGTTGGTGCTGGTGGGAACCTGGCTGTGAATGTTTCCCAGCAGGTCTTCCCCCACCGCCCGGCATTATGGCTTCTGTGAGTGAGTGAGGGCCACCGTGCCCTGCTCCTTCCTCCTGGGGCTCAGCCCCCTGCGGCTGGGCTATCTGTAGCCACGCCAGTACCCCCAGAACTTTGACGGAGTAAGTGATGGTGGCTCGTGGTGCTTTATTGCCTGATACTCACTGGTCAGTCCCAGGCAGGGGACTGAGGGTCAAGTCAAACTTTGAAACTTGAAAAACCCTGTGAACGTACGCACTGCATTATATGGTTAAGTGGAGGAAAAGGGCAGCAAGCAGGCACCTCATCTGTGTCACAGAATCATGTGAAATTTGAAGTTTCCTAAAGAAGGCACTGTTTGGTAACTTCAGGATCACCCTAACTTCCTGATATTTGTATGGCCTTCACTTTCTGAATTATTTTATTTTGGCTTGATTCCCAGCATTCTGCTTATCCACACCCAGACATGGGATTCTTTTTTTTTTTTTAATTGAGATATAATTGACAAATAACATTGTGTAAGTTTAAGGTGTACCGTATTGATTTGATACATTTATATTGCAATATGATTGCCATGATAGTGTTAGCTAACAAAATTATCAACTTTTCTGGTGGTGGGAAAAATTAAGGTCTATTCTCTTAGCAATTTTAATGTTTATAATACAGTTTTGTTGTCTGTAATCACTGTACTGTGTATTAGATCTCTAAGACTGTGGGATTCTTGGAAATTCTAAATTGGTAGGTAGGAATGGTTTAAAGGTCTGAAGTTGAGGCAAGAGGAAAGTTGTATTTACCATTCTAAAATCTGGAACTGTAATAGGGTCATTATTATTGGTGAAACTTCACCACATGCTGTGGCTTTGGCATGTAGCTCACAAACCTTACCTGTGAGGGTCTGAGTTCCTCTTTATTACTATAATTAAATCCCAGTTTTTAAAAAATTAAAGTATAGTTGATTTGCAATATTATATTAGTTTCAGGAATATAACAAAGTGATTCAGTATTTTTATAGATTACACTCCATTTAAAGTTATTACAAAATAATGGCTATATTTCCCTGTGCTGTACAATATATCCTTGTTGCTTGTTTATTTTATATATAATAGTTTGTATCTTTTAATCCTTTACCCCTATCTTGCCCTTTCTCCCCTTTCCTCTCCCCACTGGTAACCACTAGTTTGTTCTCTACATCCGTGAGTACCTTTCTATTTTGTTATATTCATTAGTTTGTTTTATTTTTTAGATTCCACATATAAGTGATATAGTATTTGTGATAGGATATAGTATTTGTCTTTCTCTGACTTATTTCACTAAGCATAATACTCTCTAGGTCTATCCATGTTGTTGCAAATTGCAAAAATTTATTTTTATGGTTGATACTCCATTGTATGTGTACATACCACATCTTCTTTATCCATTCATCTGTTTATGGACACTTAGGTTGCTTCCATATCTTAGCTAATGTAAATAATGCTGCTATGAACATTGGAGGGCATATATCTTTTCATATTAGTGGTTTCATTTTGTTCTGATCTATACCTAGGAGTGTAATTGCTGGGTCATATGAAGTTTTATTTTTTTGAAGAACCTCCATACTCTTTTCCACAGTGGTTGTACCGATTTACATTCCCACCAACAGTGTATGAGGGTTCCCTTTTCTCCACAGCCTCACCAACTTTAGTTTTTTGTGGTCTTTTTGATGATAGCCATTCTGACAGGTGTGAGGTGATGATAATTTTATTGTGGTTTTGATTTGTATTTCTCTGATGACTAATGATGTTGAGCAGTGTTTCATGTGCCTGTTGGCCATCTGTATGTCGTCTTTGGAAAAATGTCTATTCAAGCTCAATCCCAGTTTCAGTCTAGGAAACCGTCATGTTATAACTCTCATTCCCCCATACATGTAGATCACGCATTTATTCAATTCATTTATTCAACAAATGTTTGTAAAGTGGCTAGCATGTGCCCAGCACTGTTCCAGGTGCTGGGGACACATCAGCAGGCAAACATCCTGACCTTCGTGGGACTTACATTACAGACAAAAAGAAAATAAGTAAGTAAACTGTAGGGTGGTAGGAGAGAAGTTCTGTGGAGAAAAGCAAAGCAGGGAAGGAGGCTAGGAAGGGCCAGGGTGGTGGGGTCGCGTTTTCCGTAGGACAGTCAGAGGAAGCTGTGCCGGCAGGGTGAGGCAGCCGGTGATTAGGCCCAGTAATTTATACTCTCTTTCTCATTTTTTTCTGGTTTCTAAGTTCTTACATTAGGGAGGTTGGAAGACACACTGGGTGATGACTTTATTAATAATTTTACAGGAGATGCAGAAATATTCTTCACGTTACATTGACCCTCAGTAAAAAAAACAAGCAAAGGATGCGGTGCACCTGTTAGTAATTTATTGCCTTTCAGCCCCTAACCCACCCTTCCTTGCCTTGCTTTGTGATCCTTGAGCTGAACCCTATAAGCATTTCTCCTTTGCCAGCTGATGTAGAAGGCTCTGAGAATCACAGGAAGAGGCAGGGGCTTCTCATTCTGTTACAGAATTTTGTTATTGTTCGTTTGTTTTTGCTCCTTGGGATGACCTGACAGTGCTGTGTGGAGACCGAGTGGTGCCCACCCTCTTGTGGGTCTCACTGGTACCCCTGCAGGCAGTTTCCTGCTCACCAGCCCCCAAGGGCCTCACCTTGACAAACTTCCTGACCATCCAGTGGGTTGCAGTCACCCTCTGTAACAGGTCTGAATCTCAGCCTTGGGAGGGAGGGCCTCTTCCATGTGTGTTCCTTCTCGGGTGCTCTGCCTCAGTCTAGGGGCCTCTTCCTACCTCTGCTTCCTACTCCCTTAGACAGTTAATCCCCTTTGAGTAGTTAATAATTCTTTGTAGTAAATGCTCTTTGGTCAAATTACTGGTATGATTCCTGTCTTTTGACTGGATGCTGATTGATAGATACAACATTAAATTAGTTGAGCGAAGGGATGGAAGGGCGCTAGGATGCTGAATGCTGGCGTGATGACATTTTCAGAGGTCTAACTTCTTATTGAGAAATGGGTATTCAGAACTTTAGAATTACAATAATTTATCTATTCCTTAAAATGGCTTCATCAAATATCAGTGTTCTCAGATTATCTATCTGTCTAACTAATTTTTATTAGCAAATATTACAGAAAATTAGGTAAGTATAGGAAAAAAATCTATGATAATCCCAAATAGCAGCTATTATAATTTTTAAATAGCACTACTTTTTTTTTAACATCTTTATTGCAGTATAATTGCTTTACAATGGTGTGTTAGTTTCTGCTGTGTAACAAAGTGAATCAGCTATACGTATACATATATCCCCATATCTTCTCCCTCTTGCGTCTCCCTCCCACCCTCCCTATCCCACCCCTCCCATGTGGTCACAAAGCACCGAGCTGATCTCCCTGAATAGCACTGCTTCTTAATGGAAAGTGTGTAAAAGCTACTCTTAGAAAACAATTTTCCTCTGGATTCGTTGTTTGGTACTGAGCAGTAGATTGAAGGGGCCTATACCTACATGTTATAATTTTAGGGATTCTGAGAATGTCTCATCCTGCCCCCACATTTTCTCCCACATCTTGGCTAAGCCAAAAATGTCACCTTAGTGCTTAGTCCTCTCAATACCTGGGCTACCTGGGAGGGCAGCGAGGGGGAAATGATACTTCCAGAAAACAATTGTATTGATGACCAACCCTGAAATATAGATTTTATATGTACTTGCTGGAAGAAAAATAGTTAACTGTATCCTTAAAAACCCTTTCTCATTTCATGTCTGGTTTATTCTGCTTTGTGCTGAAAGGTGTAAAAAAAAGTGGGGGTGGACTTCACTCAAGTAGGTTTGAGAAATAGGTGGACTGAAAATATAAAGCAAGTTTCTTTACTACAGTGCTTCTCAGAACTCTTCAAGTGCTAATAAGCATTAGGATCCTAGAGAAAGTATGCAGCATTTCCCAAAATTGTTTGATCATGGAATCCCCTTTTAATTCTTATGCAGTTACTTATGGACCAAGGACTCTGCAGGCTGTATTTCGAGAAATGTTGCCTCAGACATAAAAAT